GAATCAACATCTCATCATTAACAGTTAAAACTACAATTTTAAAAAGAGCACACTTACCTAAGTTCAGAGGCCAGCTTCTTTACCTTGAGCATGATATGCTGAACCTGGGTGATGTTTCCAGGCAAAGGCTGCCCCAGGACCCAAGGCCATTGCCAGTGTGACCCACGCTGTAGCTGCTGCCCCTCCTCCCTCCTTCCTTTCCCCAGGTGGGGGAGGGTGAAATCAAAGGTGAGGGGGAAAGGGTGAAACTCTCTTCTCCTATGAGAGGGGTTAACAGATACCCCCTTGACTCAAGGGAAGGGAGTGGGAGAAAGGAGTGACCAGGGTTATAAGGAGGAGTTTCAAAACTCCTTAATGATCAATCACAACACCTCCAGAATCTGCTAAGATGTTTTGAGCTGTTCTAACTTTTCCCTATAACCTCCATGAAGGAGGATCCAGGGGTGTAGAGGGAAGAGAGTAAGTAAGCCTCAGGGAACCAAAAAGCAACTACAGTTTTCCCTAATTTCTGAGAGAATTGACAGAATTGGGCATACACTTCCAGATAGGGCATCCATCCTTGTCCTCTATGCTGTGGAAGGTGTACCCAGGTCCATGACCTCAAACCAACCCAGTGGACCAACAGCCTGAGAGTGTCAGGCTGAGTGTGAGACAGCCTCATGACTGCCTGCCTGAAAAGTACCTCCAAGCCTTGGTGCTTGGAGAGAGACCCCAACTGCAGAGGAAGAAAGGAGCATGGGAGGGGAGGCTTACGTACCTTCCAATCTTGGCTGGAAAAGAACTTGGGGTTAGGCAGTTTCCCAGTACAGGCCACCAAAATGTTGAGGTTTAGGGGCTAGGGGTGCTGGCACCCCAAAATCACAACATACGGGCCCTGTCTCCAAGAATTCAACCCAAGCCTTCTTTCAGCCAAAGACAAGATTTATTAGAACATCTGTCATACTGGGTAGACTCTTAAGGAGTCTGAACATTAGTGAGCTAGTGAGCTAGATTGTAAGAATCTGAGCCCCATCTCTTCTTTAAGACTAATGTTGGTCATTGCAATTCAAGTACAGATACCTTTTGGTATTATTTTTGTGTACGTTATTGTAATCACAGCACACATTGTTCTCCAGGTTCTACTCACTTAATTCTGCGTTAGTTCATAAAAATCTTCCCATGTTTTCTCAATTCCTCATTTCTTGGGGCAAGATTTGAACCCAGAGTCTTCTTCTCTCCAGGTCTAGCACACCATACACTTACATTGGCCTGGTCCTCTAGGAAAAGCAGGGAACCAGGAAAGCAAGAAAATGGATGGGGACCAGAGGGAGGTGGACTACTAACCATGAAGGGGAACCAGGGTAGCACCTTAAAAGTCCAGGGCAGGAGTAAATCATGATTCATAATTGTAAAAGGGGTGGGGTAAGGGGAGATGAAGCTTAGGAATTAGAATTGCCTGTTGATCTTAACTTTTGATCATAAAGAAGCTACTGATGACCCTGCTGAGTATAATTGCGGTGATGTGGCTGGTGGCAGCTTGGATGACCCAGGTTACCACAAAGATCACGGATGAAGTATTCATGGAAGAACCCAAGAGCTTGGAGGTGAAGACAGAAATGGAATACACAATACCATAGCGCACACCAGGGGCTGGTTTCCTTAAAGAAGGAAATGAGCTATGTTTTATATTGAAGGAAAGGAATTAATAGTGAACAAGTGATTGAAAATAAATAACTCATATTTAGGTAGTGCTTTGATGTTTGCAAAGCACTTTAAATACATTAGCTCCCTTGAGTCTCAGAGAACTTAAGGGTCTTGCCTATGGTCCCACAATTAGTCATTGTCAGAAGCAGATGTTCTTGGGCCCAGGCCATCCAAATACAGTGGTGTATCCACTACTCTCACACTGTCTCAGAAGATGAGAGGGTTTACATCTCCTTAGAGTTAAGGGAATGAAAAACAGGCCTGGTCATTCTAGTCACAGAAAGTCATTTCTCAGACAGTCACAACAATGAAACTGGAGAGGATGGTCTTTTTCTTTTTTTAAAGAATCACAGAATTTCAAAGTTGGCAGAGAACCTACCATCGACAGCTTCCCCTATAAATGGTTATAACAGCTCACAAGTGAGTGATCCCAGTGTAGGCAGAGATGTAGGCCACAGTGGTGGAAAAGATGAAGCAGGGACTTCACTCTTCGACCAGGAAATGGATGGAATTTTCCAGAATTTTAATGTTAGTGATAGGAACCATAATCCCAACACTCTCATTTTGCAAGGTGAGGAAACAGGCTCAGAAGAACCAAGCAACTTGCCCAAGGCCAATGACATTTTAAAAATTAACTAATTAATTTATTTTTAGTTTTCAACATTCACTTCCACAAGATTTTGAGTTCCACATTTTCTCCCCATCTCTCCCCCTTCCCCCACCCTAAGATGGCCTGCAATCTGAATACCCCTTCCCCCAATGTGCTCTCCCTTCTATCACCCCCTTCCCTTCTCTTATCCCCTTCCCCTTTTATTTTCCTGTAGGGCAGGATAGATTTCTATACCCCTTTGCCTGTGTATCTTATTCCCCAGTTGCATGTCAAAATAATTTTTAACATTTGTTTTTAAAACTTTCAGTTCCAAATTCTCTCCCTTCCTCCCTCTGTACCCACCCTCATTGAGAAGGCAAGCAATTCAGTAGATGCTATACATGTGTAGTCATGCAAAACACTTCTATAATAGTCATGTTGTGAAAGACTAACTATATTTCCCTCCATCCTATCCAGGCCCTCATTTATTCTATTCTTTTCTTTGACCTGTTCCTCCTCAGAAGTGTTTACTTCAGATTACCCCCTCCTCCAATCTGTCCTCCCTTCTATCACCCCCTCTCTTATCTCCTTTCCCCCCTATTATCCTGTAGAGTAAAACAGGTTTCCATACCCAACTGAGTGTGTATGTTATTCCCTCCTTAAGCCAAATCCGATGAGAGTAAGGTTCACTCATTCCCTTTCACCTCCTCCCTCTTCCCCTCCACTGTAAAAGCTTTTCCTTGCCTCTTTTGTGTGAGATAATTTACCCCATTCTACCTCTCCCTCTTTCCTTCTCCCAGTACAATCCTCTCTCACCCCTGAATTTTATTTGTTAGGTATCATCCCTTCATATTCAACTTGCCCTGTGTGCCCTCTGTCTACACACACACACACACACACACACACACGTATATTCCCTCCAACTACCCTAATACTGACAAAGGTCTCATGAGTTACAAGTATCATCTTTCCTTGTAGAATACTGTAAACAGTTCAACTTTAATAAGTCCCTTGTGATTTCTCTTTCCTGTTTACATTTTCACGCTTCTCCTGAGTCTTGTATTTGAAAGTCACATTTTCTATTCAGCTCTGGTGTTTTCATCAAGAATGCTTGAAAGTCCTCTATTTCATTGAATGTCCATTTTCCCCCTTGAAGGGTTATACTGAGTTTTGCTGGGTAGGTGATTCTTGGTTTTAATCCTAGCTCCCAAGGCCAATGACATTTATAGTGCCAGGTTAGCTCTCTTTCTACCAAGACTTCATATGTGACTGAGCCTTTAGTAATTGCCAATATTCCCAGTTTTAAAGGTGGGATGAAGAGTCTTAGTAGTGAGTGATGCTAACCAACGTTGATAAGTAGAGAATAGGATCCTAAACTCCTTACTCTAGAGTTGGAAGGGATCTCAGAGGCCATCTGGTCCAACCTCCTTCATTTTAGAGGCAGAAACTGAGGCCCAGGGAGAAGTGACCTGCCCAAGGTCACAGAAGTAGCATGGTGATGAATGGAAGACACAAAAATCTAGGTTTATGAATATAGAACATATTCATAACATGAATATGGGTGAACATAGAATATATTTATGAATATGACAATAAAGAGTTTGAGTGCTGAGGGAACATAAGGGGGATCTTGGAGATGGTCGAGATGGATGCTACTGTGGGGTGAGAAATGAGAAGAGAGAAGTTTTTATCCTTATGGTATAGGAAAAGAGCCCTGGATGGGGAATTCAGAAGACTTGGGCCAATTCTTGCTCAGACCTTTACTGTATAGTGAGGGCCTCGAGATCATGCCATATGAGGACCAGTTAAAGACAGTGGGACTTTGACTTGGGTTCCAATTCTGGCTCAGACACTAGCTGTGGGATTGTAAAGAGCCTCCAGGTAATGTCAACTGAAGGACCCAAGGATGTTTAACTTGGAGAAGGGATGTTTAACTCTGGTGGGTGGGTGGGGGTGGCTTCCGAGTTTCTGAAAAATCCTTCTTCTGAAGAGGGATTACATTTAGCCTGGCCTCAAATGGGTTAGGGTTACACATGAAAGCAGCCAAGATGCAGAATTAGGGTTTTTGTCTGGAAAAACTTCGTAAAAGTGGAATGGGCTGCCTCCTGAGGTAGTGGGCTCCCCTCAACTAAAGTCCTCAAGCACAGGTTGTCTGATCGTTTATTGGGGATGTGGGTTGGCTCTGGATAGCCCTAACTGCCATTCTTGATTCTGATAGGCATCTGCCTGCCTGCCTCCCTGTCTGAGTACCTAGCTAGATGTTGCGCCCCCCCCATTCTGAAGTTTCTAGGGGCCCCATTATTCGACGTGAGCACGTTCTAACCTTCGTGACGTATTCCTTGACTACTTAGTAACCAGCGCGTCCCTGAGGAATCAGTCTGGCATAAGGCTTGGTCGCACTCTACCTCGTAGGGTGCGCTCGCCAACTCTGTGCCCTTAGAGGCCCGGGGGGGGGGATTTTTCGCCTTCATTGTCACGGGGGGGGGGGGAGTGGTTCAGGAGCCTGTATCAGTTGCGGGGGCGGGGTCGGGAGGTCTGGGTCTCGGTGGGGATGGAGGCGGCGGTGAAGCCCGCAGCCTCTCGTGCCTCCCCACACCCCGGCCTCCTTCCCCTACCCTTCTCACGCCTGGGACTGGAGCGGCGGGCGGCGAAGTCGAAGCGTCCGGCGCCCCTGAGCCTGCGCAGTGCCAGCCCATCTCTAGTTGCGGCTCCCAGACTGAAGATGGCGGGCGCCGGCGGCAGCGGCAACGGGAGCGGCAGCGGCAGCCGGCAACAGCGGGACATCCCTCAGGGGGATGCGAGAACAGTTGGGTGAGGAGACCTAGCCCCCCTGAGCTCGGGCCCCGGACTTGCCTGCCTTCCCCGCCCCCTTTCCCCGGGCTAGGCTCTGTGGCGGGCGGCGGGCTGCTTTGGGAACGCTCTCACCAACTGGGAAGAAGAGAGAAGTAACTTTTCTTGCTGTCCCCCGCCCTGCCCTGCCCCGGCCTCCCCAGCCCCTTCCCCACTGCGCCACGACGGGTGGGGGGGAGGGGGGGAGGCTGGAAGGAGCCGCCCGGGACTGACGGACTGACTGAGTGACTGACTGATGGCCCGGGACGGGACGGGCTGGCTCGGGCGGGGTACGCGGAAATGCCCCTTCAAGTTAGAGGAAAACTAACGGCCGTCCTCTCCTAGGGCTTTCCTCTGGCCTCGGAGGGTCTGGGGCGGGACAGGGCTGGGGGGCGGCCCCGTGTGCGGGACGGTCCGGGCCGCTGCAAGGCCTCCGGCGGATTCCGTTCGAAACCGTTATAGCCTTGGCCGGGAGGCGGAGGGAGGGGGGAAGGAGGTAGGAGGGAGGGGGGGAGGAGGGAGGGGGCGTGGGGAGGGGGCGTGGGGAGGGGGAGGAGGGAGGAGGAGGAGAGGAAGAAACGGAACGGACGCCAGCTCGCCCGCGGGCTCGGAGCAAAGTGCGGGGGGCAGCAGCGACAGAAATGCTGGGGCAGGGAGGGAGGGATGGGTGGCTTTGGGGAGAGCCCCTTATCTCCCTCTTGTCCATATTCTCCTCCTCTCTACTTAACCTCCTCTCTAACTTCCCTCCCCAACTTTACCCTCTCCCCTCTTAATTGCCCCCTCCCAAATTTCACCCTTCTCTACCACCCCTCAACTTTCCCCCTTCTTTCCCATCTCCAACTTTACCCCTCCCCTCTAACTTCCCCCTCCCAGCTTTCCCCCTCTCCCTAACTTTACCCCTTTTATCCCAACGTTCCTTCCTCTCTAACTTCCCTCCCCAACTTTTCCCCTTCTCTCCCACCCCCAACATTCCTCCCACCCCCAACATTCCCCCCCACTTTACCCCCTCTCCCAACTTTACCCTTCCCCCTCACTTTGCCCCTTCTCTCCTCTCTAACCTCTCTCCCCAACTTTCCCCCTTCTCTCCCACCCCTCAACTTTCCCCTCCAACTTCCCCCTCCCAGCTTTCCCCCTTTTATACCAACTTTCCCCCTCCTCTCCCACCCCAAACTTTCCCTCCTAACTTTCCTCCTCTTTCCCACTCCCAACTTTCCTCCTCCCTTCTAATTTCCCCCCCAACTTTTCTCCTTCTCTCCCAACTTTCCCCCTTCTCTCCCACCCTTCAACTTTCCCCCTCCCCTCTAATTTCCCCTTCCCAAATTTACCCCTTACCCTAACTGTACCCCTTCTCTCCCAACTTTCCCCTCTCTCCTCACCCCAACTTCCCCTCACTTTACCCTTCTCTCCAACTTTCTCTCCTCTTAACTTTCTCCAACTTTCCCCTTCTCTCCCACCCCTCATCTTTCCCCTCCAACTTGCCCTTCCCAACTTTCCCCCTCTTTGTAACTTTACCCCTTCTCTCCCAACTTTCCCCCTCCTCTCCACCCCAACTTTACCCCTTCTCTCCCAAATTTCCTTCCTTTCTAACTTCCCTCCCCAACTTTCCTCCTCCTCTCCCACCCCTCAACTTTCCCCCTTCCCTCTAACTTCCCCTTCCCAACTTTCCCCCTCCCCCTCCCTTTCCCCCTTCTCTCCCAACTTTCCTTCCTTTCTGACTTCCCTCCCCAACTTTCCCCCTTCTCTCCCATCCCCAACTGTCCTCCTCTGCTCTAAATTCCCCCTCCCAGCTTTACCCCCTCCCTAACTTTACCCCTTTTCTACCAACTTTCCCCCTTCTCTCCCACCCCTTAACTTTCCCCTCCCAACTTTCCCCTTTAATACTAACTTTCCCCCTCCTCTCTACCCCAAACTTTCCCTCCTAACTTTCATCCTGTTTCCCCTCCCAACTTTCCTCCTCCCCTCTAATTTCCCCCTCCCCCAACTTTTCTCCTTCTCTCCCAACTTTCCCCCTTCATTCCCACCCCTCAACTTTCCCCCTCCCCTAACTTCCCTTCCCAAATTTACCCCTTACCTAACTATACCCTTCTCTCCCAACTTTACCCCTCCCCCTCACTTTACCCCTTCTCTCCCAACTTTCCTTCCTTTCTAACTTCCCTCCCCAACTTTCCCCCTCTTCTCCACCCAAACTTTTCCCTCCCTCACTTTCCCCTTTCTCTCCCATCTTTCCTTCCTTTCTAATTTCCCTCCCCAACTTTCCCCCTTCTCTCCAACTGTCTTTCCTCTCTAACTTCACTCCCCTACTTTCCCCCTTCTCTCCCACCTGTCAACTTTCCCCCTCCCCTGTAACTTCCCCTTCCCAACTTTACCCCTTACCCTAACTTTACCCCCTCTCTCCCAACTTTCCCCTCCTCCCACCCCAACTTTCCCTCCCCCTTATTTTACCCCTTCTCTCCCAAGTTTCTTTCCTCTCTAACTTCCTTCCCCAACTTTTCCCTTCTCTCCCACCCCTCAACTTTCACCCTTCTTTCCCATCCCCAACTTTACCCCTACCCTCTAACTTCCCCCTCCCAGCTTTTCCCCTGTCTCTAACTTTAGCCTTTTATCCCACCTTTCCCTCCTCTCTAACTTCCCTCCCCAACTTTTCCTCTTCTCTCTCAACCCTCAACTTTCACTTCCAACTTCCCCTTTCCAAATTTACCCCTTATCCTAACTTTACCCCTTCTCTGCCAGCTGTCCCCCTCCCCTCACATTACCCTTCTCTCCCACTTCCCCTCCCCTCTCACCCAACTTTCCCCTCCACCCCACTAACTCCCCTTAACTTCCTTCCAATTTACCCCTTACCCTAACTTTACCTCCCCTCACTTTGCCCTTCTTCCAACTTTCTCCCTCTAACTCTCTCCCAACTTTCCCCTACTCTCCCACCCCTCAACTTTCCCCTCCAACTTCCTCCCTCTCCCTAACTTTACACCTTCTCTCCCAACTTTCCCCCTCCTCTCCCACCCCCAACTTTCCCCCTCCCCCTCACTTTCCCCCTTCCCTCCCCAACTTCCCCTCCTCTCCTGCCTACCCTTTTCCTTCTCCCCAACCTTTCCCCTTCTTTCCTTCCCCCATGTTCCAGGTCTTCTCTTCCAGTATTCTTCCTACCTTACTCCCCCTTCCCCATGAAAAAAAACCCAACAACAAACCAAATGATAAAATAAGTGTGGTGAGGCAGGTAAGAGATGACTTCAAAGTCTCTTTCCCATTTCAGTGCCTTAAGCTTCTAACACCCTACTGTAACCTCCCTCCACCCAAATTCCTTAAAAATATTCATGGGGGGGGTGCCGGTGCAACTCCAGAGTGGAGATTGGAACTATTCTGTGCTCCCCTTATTTTTTTTTTTTTTTGGCTGCTGTAGCATATGACTTCCACAAGATATCAATTGAGAGACATACAGTACAGTACCTATAGGGTGCAAATGAATTTAGCTCATTGGGCAGATTATCTATGAGGTTCAGCTCCTGAACAATTCTTTGCACCTGAAAGTTCTTCTAAAATTCTTGTTAATTGGGGCAGCTAGGTTGCCCAGTGGATAGAGCACTAGCCCTGGAGTCAGGAGGACCTGAGTTCAAATTGGGCCTCAGACATATAACACTCACTGGCTCTGTGACCTTGGGCAAGTCACTTAACCCCATTGCCTGGGAAAAAAAAAGAAAGAAAAAGAATCATAAATTGAGATCTGGAAGGGACCATTGAGGTTGTCCAACCATCTCATTTTACACAGGAGAGCCAAGGTCACAAGTAAAAAATTTGGATTCACATGCAGGTCCTCTGACTCCAAATCCATGATGTTTTACATAGATATGAGGCCCAATTAAAATGTCATACTGTGTTTTCATTGGTTTCACTAATTTGATAAAGAATATTAGAAAAATATCAAAGACTTCTGATAATCTTTAACATATTTCCTTTAAAAATAATGCCTACAAAATTTGAATAAATTAACCATTTGTTGAAGGTCTTTTTGAGTGTGCTATCTTCTGTCTGCATAGGGAAAATGAAAAAAAAAAAAAGCAACCCAATAAAGTTTGGAGCCAAACCTGGACAGTGAGCATTCTCCTTTTTCTCCCTCCATAAAGTGTTGTGGGTTTCCAGAACATCAGCACCATTGTATTCTATTGCAGTGTTCTTCTTACTGTGCAAATCTAATGTTACTGACTTGAATTGTTAGCGGGGCTTGTACTTAGAATTATTTTTACAGTAATGGGGAGCAATGTTTATCCACATGTTTTCACCTCTCCCTTTGTGACCAAGAGCAAAATAAATGAGGTGTATGGTCTCTGGCCATGGATAAGAACAAAGCTACCTGGCCCACACAGAGCTGGGGCTCATCCCCTTAGGCTCATCTGGTGGATGCTGTGACAAATTGAGCTAATTAATGGTCCATAGACAATAGTCAGTGTAATATAAAAATATTCCAAAGCCAGTTATAAATGATTTGGGGACTACTTTTGCCATACTGCCCCTCTCTCTTGTTCAGTGCAGAATAAGTATTGGCCAATAGGGCTGACTTGAAAATAGCACTTGTAATTGTAAGCTAGGCAGGCAGTCCCCTTCTTTTCAGTGAAATATATTTTGAAAACAAAATCAGAAAGTAGAATGGGAACAAAACCAAACCATGGACCAAGTCTACCATAGGCTCTAAAGCACGTCTCTGATCATATCACTCCAAATTAAATGTCCAAATTAAAGCCTGACATTAAGGATCTTTCGTAATTTTGACCCCAACATACCTTTTCGGCCTTTAATCCATTTTAAAAAATGTATTTAGCTTTGGGGCTTAAAAATTAAAAAAAAAAGTTCCTCACAATTTGGTGAAGAAGGTGGTGCAAGTATTAGTTCTTCTATTTTGTAGGTGAGGAAACTAAAGTTTGGTGTAGTTAAATGACTTGTCCACTGTCACACAGCTAGAACATGTCAGTGACAGATTGTGAACCTCAGTG